GGGTACAGTGTGAGAGACCTAACAGAAGGCCCTGTTCAATTCCCAGTACCACAAAAGAACCAAAATGTTAAATTATGGGTGGCTTAGCCAGATATGGTCACAGGAGGATCTCTGAGAGTTCGAGACCAGCCTGGGCACCAAAGTGGGTTTAAGGCCAGCCTGAACTACATAGGGAGACCCTGTCTCAAAAAGACAAAAAAAAATTTTTAAATTAAATTATTCTAGTGGGCATTTTCATATCCAAACTCTGCTTAAATAGTAGCCAGCATTTAACTGACTATCAGTTGTGTTATCTCAATCTTTACACAAATGAGGAAACATCTGGAGATTTAAAACCATGCTCCAGGTCATAAGCACAGTTGAGACTGGACTCCAGGACCAAACTGTCCACGATGATCAAGTGTCCTTTTCCTGTTACTGGTGCGTTACATGGTTAGAGATGAGAACTTTCCACAGCCAGGTGCCTGTTTTTCATCTAAGGTTTTGTTTTTTTTTTTACCCCCAGTAGTGGGCATTGAACCTAGGCCTTTCACATTGAGGTAAGTTGCGCAGGCTGGGCTACAACTTGTGATCCTCCCGCCTCCTGAGCCTTGCAGAGTACAGTAAGTCTCCAACTTATGAATGAGGCCCATTCTGGAAGAACATTCCTACTCAGATTGATTTGTAAGTGTGACAAAGAGGGTCTTGCACACCTTTGATACCAATATAGAATGTGAAGCAGAAAAAACCAAACACACATAAAAAATACTATACACTATCACACTGTACATTACGCACACCGCAGCACAACTGTGACAGTGTCCGGCAGATGCATGAGCTACCTCCGCGACCTGTTCACCTTTATGAATGCTTGCAGTGCGAGGTCAATTCGTATCTAAAAATTTGTAACTCACAGCTTTGGAGGTTGGAGTCTTACTATACTGGGGCATGTGCCACCACATCCAGCTAAATCAGGATTCTGAAATACTGTCTAGATTCAGGAAATGGATTTGTGGCAGTCACCCAGCTGGGCAAATTTGTAGAATTTTTCTGTTGCCCCAAGCTAATATGGTGGTGTTGTTTTAACTGGTGAGTATAATTCATTGGGGTTTTTTTGTTTGTTTTTTGTTTTTTGAGAGAAGGTCTCACTATGTAGTTCAGGCTGGCCCTGAACTCGCTATATGTCCCAGCCTGGCCTCAAACTCACAGTGATACTCCTGACTCAGCCTCCTGAATGCTGGCATTACAGGTGTGTGCCATCGTGTGAAGCTGGTGAGGCTAACTGGAATTAACCAGTATACTGAGAAGAATCATTTGAATCTCCAGGTATTACATGGATATGCTTTTTCTTTGCAGGTCCGACACATTCTATGTGAAAAACACAGCAAAATTATGGAAGCCATGGAAAAGTTAAAGTCTGGAATGAGATTCAGTGAAGTGGCCACACAATATAGTGAAGATAAAGCCAGGCAAGGGGTATGTTGCTCTTATCATTTAAACTTTTCTGCCCTCTACAGAGGAAACACAAAAGCAGGAATTACTTATGTGTTCCATCACTAATTTTAACTATGTCTTGCTTTAAAGATCTTAAAAGTACTCTGGGAAGCAGAGTCAGGAGGGTTGCAAGTTTGAGCCCAGCTTGGGCAACTTTACAACTTGGCAAGTCCCTGTCTCAAAATGAAAAAAATAAAAAGGGCTGGGGATGTAGCTCAGGGCAAAGACCCTGGATTCAAACCTCAGTACTATTTAAAAAAACATCTCAGCTGGCCATAGTGTGAAGGCCCTGAGTTCAATTCCCAGTACAAAAAAAAATCTTATTTCTACCTTGCCTTGGCATAGTACAGACTTAACATCTCCAATCCAAAAATTCAAAATGCTCTTGAAATCCAACTTTGAGCACCAACACGATGCCTTGAGTGGAAAATTCTACCCTATGCAACTCTGATTCATGCATATTATGAAAAATACTGTATCAAATTGCCTTCAGGTTATACACATGATGTATATATGAAACATAAATGAATTTCATGCGTAGACCCAGGTTCCAGCCCCAAAATATCACATCATGTATATGTACATATCCCAGAATTCAAAATACTTCAGGGCCCAATTTTTTGTTTGTTTGGGAGGGTTTTTTTGTTTTGTTTTTTTAGACAAGGTCTTGCTGTATAGTTCAGGCTAGCCTTGAGCTCACTATGTAGCCCAGGCTAGCCTCAAATACTAGGCTCGTCCCAAGTGTTTTGGACAAGAGATACTCTACTTATACTAAAAATCAAGATTTATTAGTAATAATCAATCTTGAAAATAACAAATTTTAATAAAAAGAAAACAAATAATGCTGTTGTAATCTCATTAAAGGGTAGGTATTAAAATGATTTATTAGAAAACTATACTGTAGGCCTGGCATGGTGGTGCACACCTGTAATCCCAGCACTCCGGAGGCTGAGGCAGGAGGATCTTAGTAAATTCGAGACCAGCTTGGGCTACAAAGTGAGATCAAGCCCAGCCTGAACTGCACAGCAAGACCTTGTCACCACACCTGGCAAGATGTGTCTTCAAATGTGGGTGCTTCATCATCTTACTTCTTTTAGCTTTATCCTAGTCTGGATGTATATAAATTATAAATATCCATAAAATAGCCAGGTGTGGTGGCTCACACCTATAATCCCAGCACTTGAGAGGCTGAGGCAGGAGGATGCCATGAATTCAAGGCCAGCTTGGGCCATATCCTGAGTTCAAGTCCAGCCTGAATTGCAGAGCAAAACCTGTCTCCAAAAACCAAAAAAGACCAGCACTCGGGAGGCATATATTTCTGTCTGTTCATAGAAGGATAGAGGATTTTCCAACCCATCATACTCTCCCCTTTACTTTATTCCATCTCCCCACTGTGGCTGTGGGTTTTTTTTTGTTTGTACCCAGAATCGAACTCAGGACCTTGCGCTTGCCAGGCAGGTGCTTGTGCCACTGAGTTATATCCCCAGCCCAAAATTTTGTTTTAATCCATATCCCTGTTTCAGTTTTTATGAAAGATCATGTAAGTTCTTTTCATGTATTTATTTACATTTCTTTGTATTTATGAATAAATCTTATCAGAACTTCTATAGTTGCTTATTAAAAATAAATAAATAAATATCCAGCTTGTAAATAGAATAAATTACCTTTGTCTACATCGAGGTGTGGCCACACTTTCTCAGCTAAGCTCCAAGCCCAGCAGTGCGGGGAGTGCTTATGTAATTAGTTCAGGGTTAGACGACTTCTGCCCATTTTGTCCATGTTCAGCCAATGCCTGCCTAGCCCAAGTGAATATATCCAGTAACCTTAGTGTTCACAGTGGGAAATTCTCTCAAGCTACAGTAGAACTCTTCTCTTTTTCGGGCCACTTTATATCACATATCTTTTTGGTTTTTCAGGGTGACTTGGGTTGGATGACGAGAGGGTCCATGGTAGGACCATTTCAAGAAGCAGCATTTGCCTTGCCTGTGAGTGGAATGGATAAGCCTGTGTTTACAGACCCACCAATTAAGACAAAATTTGGATATCATATTATTATGGTTGAAGGAAGAAAATAAAATTATATGAAAGATAGGTTTTATACATTTTATTTATTTTAAAGGTATTAAATAGTCCTTGTATTTTGTGAACTGTCGATGTGGATTTGTAAGTGTAAAATAGGTTTGGTATAGCTTAGTGGACACTGTAGCAGGGGTTCAGTCAGTAGTTTTCAAAGATAAGTCAAGCGGACTCCTGTTAACCTGTATTCCCATTCTTCCCAGAGTGACTGCTAACTCTCAGTTTGTCTCATAAATTAATTGAGAAACCATTCTTCCGGGGAGCCAAGTCTCAGCTCACACTATTCATGTTCCTGAACGCATTGAGACAGGGTTTCGCTGTATAGTCCAGGCTGGCTCTGAACTCACTGTGTAGCCCAGGCTGACCTCGAACTCATAGCATCCTCCCTCATCCTCTTGAGTGCCGGGATTACACATGTGCACACCACATCCAGCTTGGGCACCAAATGGACAAATTTGGTATATGAGAGTCATAAAGTAAGTTCCTAGACAATACTGTTCTACATTAGATCAGATCTGCTAGGGCAAGTATCATTAGTTCTATTTTCTTAACATATATAAGTATATGGCACACAATAGCCACTTAACACTAACTTCTTATTGGGTTGTTTTGTTTTCTGGGATTGGGGATTAAACCCAGGGCCTTTGCACTGAGCTACATCCCCACCCCTTTTTTATTTTTTGAGGCAGGAGCTCAGTAAATCATTGAATTGCTCAGGCTGGACTTGAACTTAGAATCCTTGTGCCTCAGCCTCTATCTTGGTTACTTTCTTGTTACTGAGACACAATACCAGTACTCACAACTCTAAGGAGGAAGGGGTTATTCTGACTCAGAGTTTGTAGGTTTCAGTCCATATTCGACTGGCTCCAAGTGTTGGCTCTTGGGAACAAATGTCAGCATGAAAATATTCCTTCAGCAACATTCTGTGTATCTATTTTTATAAACTTTAAAATACCATACTTGTGACATACATGAAACTATAAGGAATAATGTAAATACTGCTTCCAATGGCCAGGTGTGTATTCCAGCACTCCGGGGATAAGGCAGGGCTACATAGTGAGTTCAAGGCCAGCCTGAACTACATAGTGGTAAAAAAACAAAAACAAAAAAAAAACTGCTTCAGAAATAAATCTGCCAACACAACTATGGGATTTTTTTTTTTTGAGACAGGGTTTTGCTATGTAATCCAGGCTAGACTTAAACTCACTATGTATCCCAGGCTGGCCTTGAACTTGCAGTGATCCTCCTGCCTCAGCCTCCCGAATACTGGGATTACAGGCCTATACCACCATGCCTGGCAACTATGGAATTCTTTTTTGTTTTTAAATTAAGCTTATTACTACATTTTAGATAGACATAATGATCACATTCATCATAGGGAATTTGTACCTGTACATGATACATCTTGCTTTTTTTCCTATTCCCCTCCCCTCCCTTCAAGCCCTCTTCCCCTCCTTATTTACAAAATTTTTGTTTCCAGTTTTTTCCTTTTCTCATTTTTTCTTTTCCCTTCCCTCCTTTCCCACTACTCCCCTCCCTAGTTCCCTTTCCCATTTGAGCATTTTCTTATTTCACAATATCTTTATACATTTTGGTCCTTACTTTTGCTTTCTCACACCAGAGAAACCATGCGGTGTTTACACATTCTGGGCAACAAAGGCAAGGCAGGGGGATCACAATCTCTGACATGCAGTTATACTACAAAGCTACTGTGATAAAAAGTTTGGTACTAGCAAAAACAAAAACAGACCCAAGGATCAGTCAACTAGATTAGAAGATGCAGAAACAACTCCAAACACACTCAGCCACCTTATCTTTGAGCAAGGAGCCAAACTGTTCACTGGAGGAAAGATAGCCTCTTCATTAAAACTGGCTTTCCACATACCAAAGATTAAAACAACCCATATCTTTCACCATGTATTAAAATAAAAGCAAACTGGATCAAAGATCTAAATATTAAAACAGAAACACTAAATCTGCTGAAACGCTTGAAGACTGGTGTAGGCAAAGACTTTATGAACAAATCCCCAGTCACACAGGAACTGTCACACAGAATCAACTGGGATCTCATCTTATTAAAAAGCTTTTACACAGCAAGAGAAACCACCAACAGAGTGAAAAGACAACCGGTATTGGAAAAATTTTTGCCAGCTGTTCCTTAGACAAAGGACCAATATCTAGACTATATAAAGAACTCAAAAAAATCAGAAACCCCAAATTTAAAGACCCAGTCTAAAAATGGGCATCTGAAATCAATCGACTTCTCTCAGATGAAGCAATGGAAATGGCAAATAAATATATGAACAGATGTTCAACCTCACTGGTCATTCGAGAGATGCTAATGAAAACAACACTGAGGTTCTGTCTCACTCCAGGAAGAATGGCTATCGTCAAGAAATCAACCAATAACAAATGCTGGCGGGGCTGTGGGGAAAAAGGAATCCTTCTCTACTGTGGGTGGGAGTGTAGACTGGTTCAAGTTTCTTGAAAAACTATTGACTCAGCTATTTCCCTTCTTGGTATCTTCCCAAAAGAATTAAAAGCATCATAGCACAGCAATATATGTGCACCCATGTTTATAGCAGCACAGTTTATAATAGCTAAATCTGAAAAACAACCCAAATGCCCATCAACCAATGAATGGATAAAAAAGATGTGGTTTTTTTATACAGTGGAGTAGTACTCAGACACAAAGGATAAACTTGAGACGTTTTTAGGTAAATGGATGCACCTTGAGACCGTACTCTTAAGTAAAATAAATTGGACATACATTTAAATACTGCATTGTTTCTCTGGTGTGAGAAACTGAAAGTGTAAATAAGGACCAAAATGTGTAATAGATATTGGGAAATAACAAGTAAATGTTCAAATGAGAGGGGGAGAGGAAGGAAGGGACAAGGGAAAAAATACAAGGAAAAAATGGAAACGAAGCTTTTGTAGATAAGGAGGGGAAATGGGGTTGAAGGGAAGGAAGGGGAATGGGAAAAAAAGCAGCAAGTTATATCATGCACAGGTACAAATGCCTTATGATGAATGTGATCATTATGTACATCTAGAATGTACAATACAGTTTTTTTAAAACTGCAAAAAAACACACAAAACGTTAGGCATAGTGGCTGGTACCTATAATCCCAGTACTCTGGGAAGCTGAGGAAGGAAGATCCCAAGTTCAAACTCAGCCTGGACAATTTAGTAATGTAGTGAGACCCTGTCTTGAAATAAAAAAGGGCTAGAGATACAGCGCTCAGTGTAAAGGTCCTGGGTTCAACCCCTAGTACTACAAAAAGAAAAAGGAAATACCTAAAAGTAAAAAGAGCTTAGGATGTAGCTCAGTGGCACAGTGCCTCTGGGTTTTATCCTAAGTACTGCAAAGAAAAAAATTGTTTTGAGTTTTAATACAGCTGTGGCTCTTTATTAGGTAATATCTAGTGACAGGTCTAAAAAGCATTGTTTTTTTTTTTAATTCAGCTTCCAAGCCCAGGATTGCTATAAGCAGAAACAGAGATGATCCCCATAAAAAGCTGATTTTTAACCTTTTGTGGTACTAGAATCGGATGAGACCCGGCGCTGGGCGCGTTCAGAACAGTATGGCAGTAGACCTTGGTGCTAGAATTAAGCCTTGGACGCTGCACATGCTAAACACATGCTCTACACTGAACTACAGCCCTAATCACAAATAGAAGTTGCCCAGGTAGTACAGGTAGCACGACTGGGGCTGGGAAACCATTCTCCCTACCCCTCCCCCAATTTGGGCAACACCCCAGGGCCAATCCTCCCTTCATTGTTCTAAGAAAGGCAGAAATAAAAATATCAAAGACTCACACAATCTCTAAAGCTCCAGGTGGGAGCACATGCATGTTAGACCTCCTGGCCTGGCCTTCAGTAACCCTCCCCCCAAACCTTATTAAAGTTCCACAAACTGCGCCTCATGTATGTAATTCAATCAGTGCGTTCTGGAGCTGGGGATTTAGCTCAGCGGCAAAGCGCCTGCCTGGCAAGTGCAAGGTCGTGAGTTCGGTTCCTGGTACCGGAGAAAAACAAACAAACAAAACAATCAGTGCGTTCTGGGAGAGGCTTGTGTGCTGAGAGCCCCTGAGCTGACAGCCCCTGTCAGTCATTCCTGTCCGTCTTACAGGAGACCCAGCGAGAGACAACCGGGCTAGACTAGACATCTTTTAAAATCCAAACACCTGATTTGTGTGCTTTTTCCTTCCCTGTCCTCCCAACACCACTTTTCTGTCCATGCCACCTTTTGTTTCTGTTGGCACAGACCTGCCCTGAGCACATCTTCCCATTGTCATCAATGAATGTGGTTGCTTTTTCTTTTACTATTGTGTGTGTGCTTGCAGTTCTTCCCTTACTGTAAACAGCCTGGAATCCATCTATGAGGTACACCATGCGGCATCGTTGGTACACAAACAGCATTTTGATGGGCTAGGCTATAGCTTGCCTAGCATGCACAAGGCCCCAGCTTCCATCTACACACTGCCAAAATACAGTGTTTTCTTTTTGTAGTAAGTACATGTAAGACTTAAGCCTCACAGTTAGATCGAACTGGAGAGGAAAAGAGTCTGTAGGCAAGGGCCTCATTAGGCTTTCTGGCAAATCCTGAATAAAAAGAGTTAAAAGTACTAGAGAAAGCAATTAACAAGAAGAGAGGACAGCAGAGCACAGGGGAAGCCATGTGGTTGAAACCCTTTCTAGGACTCCTGCAGTCAGTCCCCAACCTCCTGCCTGGAGTTATGGTGCACAGCTAGAAAGAAAAGGAGCAAGCAACAAGAATTGCAAGGAAATGGGGCTCTGGGATGATCCATGTTCTCTGGGAACAAAGACCAAGAATCTCCAGGTAGCCACTATTTTATCAGCCAGTGCAGGGGAGGGGAATGGTGCTTTTCCCGGAACACTGTAGAAGTAGTGGTTGAATGGGCAAGTTTAAAGGAAACAAGTTAAGATTCATCCCCGTACCTGGGTACTAGTTTTCCCTTACTGTCCTCAGCAGACCTCATCCTGCTCTG